CAGCAGCTAATTTAGTCGTGTTTATATCTATGCTGTTATATAATGTCGAGGTAAATATTAATAAAGATATTATTATAATATAATATAAAAATCCTTAGATTAAATATTATATTTGTTATGATTAAAGACTTATTAAGATAATATTTGTCTTATTTGCTGTTTATTTGTTTTTCTTTTATTTATTTGAATGTAATTTGACAACTGTTTTAAGTTACAGTTGTACAGTTCAGTTTATGTTTTATAGTATTTAATGTATAAAAAATGTGATTCATGAACATATACAGAAGACCAGTTGCCAAAATACAAGCCTCAATAGATTGAATTTCTGTTTTTAAATGTATTCTATGACTTTAAACAATCCTGCTATTAACATACTGATATTAGCAATCCTGCTAAAAACACTAAGCGTGTTCATTATGCTGTCCAGGGAAAGAGCCCTGAGTACAAATTAAAGATATTCGATTTTTATTCGAATATTACAATTCCGAATACAACCTCAAATCAGAAAATGTTTGGACAGTATAAAAAAAGAAAATAAAAAAAGAAAGATGTGATTTCTAAATTTCTCTCCGTATTGGCGTGGGTTTCCTCCAGGTGCTCCGGTTTCCCCCACAGTCCAAACACATGCGGTTCAGGTGAATTGGGTAAACTAAAAATGTTTGTAGTGTACAAGTGTGAATGAGAGTGTGTGAGTGTTCCCCAGTGATGGGTTGCAGCTGGGCATCCACTGCATAAAATGTGCTGGATAAGTTGGCAGTTAATTCCGCTGTGGCAACCCCAGATTAATAGAGGGACTACGCTGAAAAGAAAATTACTGAATGAATGAATGATTTCTACATTTACTTGACTTGTATTTCATTGCAGACAATACAACAAGCATTATTTACAGAGTTCCTTGTGATTTTTTTAAACATGTATTACAATTTTAGTTATTTCAACACATTTAAAAAAAGTTGAAACAGTAAAGCATTTATCACTTTATAATGTTGCCAATCCTTTTTCACAACACTTAAAAAAGATGTTTAGGGACTGAAGACACCAAGTGATGAAGTGTTTCAGGTTTCATTTTGTCCCATTCTTCCTGCAAACAAGTCTTAAGGTGGGCAACAGTACAGGGTCTTTATTGTCACATTTTGTGCTTCAAAATGTGCTAAACATTCTCTAGTGGAGACAGGTTAGGACTGCAGGCAGGTCAGTCTTGTATCCTCTTCCTCCGCAGCCAAGACTTTATTAAACGAATTTATCTAATTTGTGGCCCTAAACTGCTCCTGTACCAACGCTTTTTGGAATGTGTTGCAGGTCTGAACGTCAGAAAAGGATGTATATAAACAAATTAAATTAGGTTGACCAGAAAAACATGAAATATTATGTTTATTCACCTTATTCATCAATGACGAGCGGGCGCAGCCATTTAAATCTTTTTGGCACGAGACTTCCGGTCTCATTCACTTCCATTCATTTTTAGACATTAAAAACTGCTCGTCTCGCTGTTTGATGTTGCAAACTGATATTTCCTTGTTATACTATTCTACTTGATCTGTATAGTCATGCAAACGTTTGTTTGTAGAGCAAGTAGTTTGACCGTTTTTTGCCGTTTATCATTCCTAGTCATTTTTCCCATAGGCGACTTCCATACTGTCCCAACTTTTTCTGATTTGGGGTTGTATATGCAACCCTGCTATTAAACTTTGTCATTAAAACACATTATCAGCAGACAAAAAGTAACCCAATCCAGCAAAATTCCTTCAAACCAAACACAATCTAACCTCCAGAACCAGACACACGCAGGGCGGCATTAAACAGAAATATGTTTTCTCAACAGCCGCACATAAAAATCACAGAAACAGGCCTGGCACTGCTTTGACTCTCTAATGTACAGCTGTATGAGGATAATGAGGAGGATTTACCCCAGTTTACAGGAGAGGGAGGATAAAAACATTAGATGAGTGCACAGTATGAAGACAAGCATTTGGTTTTCATCAGTTTTCTCTCCCACATCTCTTCAGACACATGCGTTCAAACATCTAATATATGAAACCATAGTACGCTGTAAAACGTGATTTAAAGCGAGTAAACCAATTGCCTAAAAAGCAACAAGTTGGTTTTACAAAAAAAAATATGTAATAAACCCATTGTAGCTTGGAACTGTTGAGTTGACTTAATTTTTATAATTATGCAAATTGTAGTCACTTAAATAAAAAATAAAAGTAAATTAATCACTTTTTCCTAAACACCTTTATTATATTGTTTGTTTTCCAGCTTTTCTGTATCTAGCAAAATTACATACAGTAAATATTAATAATAATTAAAAATAATTCCTTACATTTATAGATCACTTTTCTGGGCACTCAAAGCGTTTTACACAATGGGGGGGAATCTCCTCATCCACCACCAGTGTGCAGCATCCACCTGGATGACGCGACGGCAGCCATTTTGGGCCAGACCACACACCACACACCAGCTGATTGGTGGAGAGGAGACAGAGTGATAACGCCAATTGGAATATGGGGATGGTTGGGAGGCCATGATGGACAGAGGCCAGTGGGCAGATTTGGCCAGGATGCCGGGGTTAAACCCCTACTCTTTTTCGCAGGACATCCTGGGATTTTTAAGGACCACAGAGAGTCAGGACCTCGGTTTAACGTCTCATCTGAAAGACGGCGCTCACTGAGCAGTATAGCGTCCCAGTCACTATACTGGGGCATTAGGACCCACACAGACCACAGGTTGGGCGCCCCCTGCTGGCCTCACTAACACCACTTCCGGCAGCAACCTAGCTTTCCCATGTGGTCTCCCATCCAGGTACTGACCGGTTGCAGCCCTGCTTAGCTTCAGTGGGCGACCATGTGAGAGAGTTGCAGTGCTAGCTGCCGTAAATAAATAAATAAATAAATAAATCTGCTCTTCCAGACTCCAGCGTGTCTTCTAAATTCAACACATGCTATAATTGTAGATGCATATTACATAAGTACACACACAAACAGCAAAAAAATAGCAGAATGACTAGTACAAATATGCTATTCCAAACACTTAACGAGAAGCAGAGCGAGTTTATTGGGTGATTAAACTCTAATCTGCGCTGATATCATACTATTAAAGTTATTAAACTGATTAGCACGCACAAATCAGCAAAACACATCACAACAAGCACACCGATCTGATGAGACGTGTGTGTTTGTGCCCCAGAATGCATGTGTGCATCAGCACGAGTAATTAGAGACGCATCTCTTCTGCGTAATTATGTCAGTCAACACTTTAAAAGCATCATTAAAATATGAAACCCATAGAGGGAGGTTTGCACACACACACACACACACACACACAGACACACAAAATACTTCTGAGCTTCCCATGGGATATTATCCAAGGGAGAGCCCAGATACACACACACATAAAAACGAACAACAGATAGCATTACACAGGGCTTAATATACACACAAACATTGCTGACACCCACACACAAATGAGCAGAATCACACACACACTACCTGACTACAGTCTTGTCATCGATCCCAGTTGTAAGAGCAACAAATAATACCTTGACTTCTAGTTGATCATTTGGAAAAGTAGCAGAGGGTCGACTTTTCTGTTGAATCATCTGTTGAACTGCATCCCAATCATCACCATCAATCATCATCAGAAGACCTACTGGAACCCGCATGGACCCAAGATTCTCACTGATATCAGTCAAGTTTGGTGAAGGTGAATCATGGTGAATCATGGTTTGGGGTCACATTCAGTATGAGGCATTAGAGAGATCTGCAGAGTGGATGGCAACATCAACAGCCTGAGGTATCAAGACATTTGTGCCGCACATTACATTACAAACCACAGGAGAGGGCAAACTCTTCAGCAGGATAGCGCTCCTTCTCATACTTCAGCCTCACATCAAAATCCCTGAAAGCAAAGAAGGTCAAGGTGCTCCAGGATTGGCCAGCCCAGTCACCAGACATGAAGATTATTGAGCATGTCTGGGGTAAGATGAAGAAGGAGGCATTGAAGATGAATCCAAAGACTTTTGATGAACTCTAGGAGTCCTGCAAGAACTCTTTCTTTGCCATTGACATTTATTAATCAGTTATTTGAGTCATTGCAGAGATGTATGGATGCAGTCCTCCAAGCTCATGATGGAGTCAGACACAATATTCATTCTGTTTCCACTGCAGCAGGACTTTATACTCTATACTGGACATTATTTCTGTTAAGTGACAAGACTTTTGTCTAAGCAGAGTCAGACCTTACTGTCCTAATGAAATCATTAAAAATCAAGGCATGATCTTATTTTATTGTGGTAAAATAAGCGTAATCTAGAGGCCTTTGCCTTTCATATAAGCCACTTCTGATACCAAATGATCAACTACAAATCAAGTTATTATTTGTTGTTCCTAAAACTTGGATAGGCGACTTTAGTCAGGAAGTGTATGTCAATGTTTGAAAACAGATACAGAGAGATGCTGCCAATAAAACAATATTATGGTATATTAGTGATTCAAAAGAACGTATTAAAGTTCTCATAACATCATGCTTTTTTTGGGTATGACCTAGTACAGTGGTTCTCAAACTGTGGTACGTGTACCACTAGTGGAACGCGGGCTTTCTTATAGTGGTACGCGGAGGAATGAAATATGTTATGTTCATGCTATACATATTTCTAAACGTATCAAAAATTATGTTTATAATGTGCCATATATGACATATAGCCTATATTTCTGAGGTAATCTGCCATGTTTTTTTTTTACTGTGCAGAGTTGTAGCTGCTCTACTGGGCCTACTACGCTACTATATTTCAATACTGCTCATTTTGGTGGTACTTGGAGAGACAATTTTTTTCTGAGGTGGTACTTGATGAAAATATTTTGAGAACCACTAACCTAGTATGTAAAGAGAATTATTGTCTGGGTCAGTTTGTGCGTGCACCTATACAGTTTCTTCCTCAAAAAAGCAGGCATCACACATGTTTATAGATTGGGTGAGGCATTAAGGGTCAATCAAACTCTTACCCATTCAGCTGACAGCTCTCACCCTGGCTTTCCAGCAGGCCCCGCCTCTGGCCCATGGCAACCTCACAGGCATTTTCATCAGAGTAAAGATTGATGGGTGTGTTATAGACTGATGGGCGGGGCACCGTCGGCTGATGATTTGGTGAGCCATCAGTGGGCGGAGACAGTGGATTAGGGTATTGAGCTGTGGAGGCGGGTGCAAAAGCAGATGCAGTGGAGGGAATGAAGGCTATGGGTGGTGACCCCGCCCCTCCAAATGGACGAGCGCTCCTATTGGAGGATGACGTGATGTGGGTGGAGTTTGTGATGTCAGAGGAGAATGGAATGGAGGTTGTCATGGGAACAGGTTTGATGATTTCCACACAATCATCCTGAACATGGAGGGAAGCACATGCAGGACTCAAACCAAACCACAACAGTAATGCAACAAGTCAACAGACAATGAATGTTATACAGGAGATGCAGGAAACATAAACAACTGACAATGACTGCAAAATAGCAAAATAGATATTTTTAAATGTTTGTTTGCTGAAATGTAAAGTAACAACGACAAACTTGTGAGAGGATTTAAAATCTTCCAGTGAATAAAAGTGTTTTTTTTTTTTACATTTTTTTGTAATTTTTTTAAAGGTTTTCTTTTTTTATAAATAAAATTATCATTTTGCAGTATTATTATAAAGAGTGCTAATGCTAACATTGAGCATTTTTTTTATTTTCCATTTTAAAAATAATTTGAGAATTATTTTATTCTAGCTAAAATAAAACAAATAAGACTTTCTCCAAAAGAAAAAATATTATCAATTATTAATAGGGGATTCATAAACTGATATTAATGCAGAGCCTGAATGCAATGCAAGTGAATAAAATCATTTGCCAAATGCATAAATGCAAATGCAATTCATAAATATATTTCATCCACATCCTAGTGTTCTAAATTAAGCATGAAGATTAATGAAGAAATGCATTGTGTGCCATCACACTGTACAGTAGTTTAAAGGGGAAATGAAACACTCAGTCAAGTTTGCATCATTTTGTACATTGGATTACACTTTAATGAATAAATATTAAACTTCATTAATGTAAGCATTTAGCAGAAAACAGCATGTTTTACTATAGCTTTTAGACCTAGGATGTTGCCATCTTGGAATGTCGCTGTGTCTGACATCACGGGGTTGGTTCCGTTCCCTCGGCTGAACAGATACAGTGAAAGTAAAGGACTGAACACAAAGACTGTAAAGCCTAATTTAACCCAATGCGTAAAGTTGTGGACGTGGAGCTGCTGCAAATACAAGCATCAGATGTAGGTCTAAAATAAAAATGTATTATTGTATTTTTCTTTTTTTCTCTTTAATTACCGATCATTTGATGCGCTTTGCTCCACTCTCTGTATTACGCTTCCTGACTGCCCGTCTGGCATTCAACCATGGTTTCAACAAGGTCCGGTACTGACGTAATTCAAGGTACTTGAATTCAAGGGCAGGTTCTTTCACTTTTCACTACTACAGTCTTCACCTCTTTTCTTGTTCCAATCAAACTAAGATCGGTGCGGTTTTTCACATGGCAGGATTTTATCCTTCATATATGTTAAGAGATCGAGTTGATAGACTTGAAAAGGGAGTATGTCAACATAATCCACACAGACGTGACATAGTAAAGCGTGAAGTCATGTATCATTTTAATTGTTGCATTAGTCTGAATGTAAATCCCCTCGTTAGGTAGTGCTGGAGCAGCGTGAAAAAGTGGACTAAAGCGTCAAATGAAAGCTATTAACAAAAGAAAATTACACAACTTACAACACTTAAATGCTTGTATTAGTTGTATTTGCAGCAGCTCTGCGATGCTCATCCACAACTTTGTGCATCAGGTTAAAAAAGGCTGTTCAGTCTCTGTGTTCAGTCCGTTACTAATGTTGTTGAAACCCAGTCAGGCAGCATAATAGAGAGAGTGAATCAAAGCACATCAAATGATCAGTAATTAAAAGGGAAAAAATAAAAATAGAATAAATATATATTTTTATATTAGACACACATCTGATGCTTGTATCTGCACGCCTACAACTTCACGCATTGGGTTAAATAAGGCTTTCCGGTCTCTGTGTTCAGTCCTTTACTTCCACTGTATCTGTTCAGCTGAGGGAACAGAACCAACCCTGTGATGTCAGACACAGCAATGCTCCAAGATGACAGCGCCCTAGGTCTAAAATCTATAGTAAAACATGACATTTTCTTTATAAGGGTTACATCAATCGAGTTTAATATATTTTCACTAAAGTTTTCATTCATCCAGTGTACAAAATAATGTAACTTGACTGAGTGCTTCATTTTCCCTTTAAATACTATGTATAATAGTTCAAAATTAAACAGTATACATTATTATTTCAGTTTTTATTAATTTAGTTTAGTTTTCAACACAAATTAAATGACAAAATATGGCTTCGAGACAGAAAATTGAAAGCAGCAGACTCCCTTTTGCTACAAAACATGCAAAACTGACACTCAAGCATCCATAAGTGTGTCTGTCTCAGAGGAATATAATGAAATGCACACACACAGAATACTTCATTCATAATACTCCAGTTATGTGTATGTGCGTAAATCTCATACCTTTGGTGCCACATCTGGTTTTGGCAGACTTGAAGCTCTGTTGGAACACAAACAACAGACAGAAACATTACTGACTGTGCCGAGACCACATCTAGAGCTGGCAGTGGCACTACATGAGGAACGTCAAACTGTGGTCAGCAGTAAAATCAAAGGCCTGCATTCATAATGACACAGAACAACCGCGTGCAAGTTTGTCGAGCACTTATGAAATTGCTCAGCCTGCGGGAGAAAAGAATTAGTGTTGCGTCGATCACTAAAATAACAGAGCAGGTTTGGGTTTAAAGGAATAATTAGGATTTCTACATGTTTTTGAAAGAAACCTCTCTGTGCTTAGAAAGGCTGCTTTTGTTTAAACACAAATACAGCAAAAAACAGTAATATTGTGAAATACTGCTAGTGTTGTAAATAACTCTTTTGTACCTAAATATATTTAAAATTCAATTTGTTCCTGTGATTCATTCATTAATTTTCCCTCGACTTAGGGTGCCCTTACATTATGCTATCTGAACCCTGCCCAGGTGCGTTTCCCTGTTTGTTTAATAAGTGTGAGTGCTCTGAATCGGGCTCAGACACGGTTCAGTTGGCCGGCCCTGACCCGGTTAGAAGAGGTGTGCCAGAGTGTGGTTCACTTGGGCTTTGGCACAGTACGCTTGTAGTGTGAGTGCAAAGTGCACCTGAGCATGAAACTGAAGACACAACGTCACTTTTAAGGGAGTTTCAAATGGATTTATTGATCCTTCTTAATTTTCAGTGAACGTGAACTGTTTATTAAAGACGCAAACCCCTCACTGCACCACAGCTGCACCTTCAGCAAACCTCCTAATACCTGCAGCACGAGGAGTTTTAGAATTATTTATGAGCGTCAAAAGTGATGGATCTGTTATATCGCCTCACAGCAAGAAGGTCACATGTTCGCTGACTCTGCTGGGCCAGTTGGCATTTCTATGTGGAGTTTGTATGTTCTCCCCGTGTTCGCGTGGGTTTCCTCCGGTTTTCCCCACAGTCCAAACACATGCGATATTAGGGAATTGGGTAAGCTAAATTGTATGTAGTGTAATGGTGTGAATGGGAGTGTATGGGTGTTTCCCAGTACTGGGTTGCAGCTGGAAGGGCAAACACTGCATAGAACATATGCTCAGATTCATTCAGCTGTGGCTTAAACTTTACCATAATTGATAAAGGGACCTAGCTAAAAAAATATATAATGAATGAATGCAATATATGGCACCTTTAAAAAAATTATCGTTTTTTTCCAAACTATCAAGTGCACATTATGATGTTGTTTGTTATTAAACTAACACTACGGTTTGAGATCGAGTGATACCGTTGCTCTGTCTGTGCATGTGTGTGTGTGTGTGTGTGTGCGTGCACTAGTTTAGCTATACCGGTGGGGGCTCAGTTGTCTTTCCCTTTTTTTGTCAGATATCAAAATGACCCACTGGGAAAGACATTTCACCAGTCTTTACAAATTCAAAATGTTTATAAATCATCCAGAAGATGTTTTATTAGTATCTAGATGACTGACACTTGTTTCTGTGAGGGTTGGTTTAGGGGTAGACCGAGTTAGGCCATAGACATTATTAGTACAGTTTTTCTCAGTCACTTTGGTGCATGTCTCACAACACTATTTACATTTGCACAACAGTTCATGCATTTCCCAAAACAATTAGTACAAACTGCAAAACCTAGCCGAAAACCTGCAAAAGCGCGTCACATGTTCAAAATAGATCGCTCATTCCTCAAAAGCAAGTACTGATGTCAATGAAAGTGTCAGTGTCCTCAAGTTGAAAAGTCCTGACACCATTGTTTATGAACAAGATAGTCAAATGGTTTTGTCATGTTTTCATTATGACAGTTTACTCTGTAAATGTTTTCCATTGCAAAAAAGTCCGATTTTAGTGACACATCCTGAAAATGCTCAAGACAGCACAGTAAAGTTAGACATCAATGCATTTAGTGAGGTATCTGAGTACAAGACACTAGATATGTATGTTTCACGGTTTTACTGCATTTCCTCTTTACAATCCTAATTTACTCACAGCATTGTGCAAAAAAAATAAACACACCCTAATTTACAACAAACAGAAACTTCCTTTGGGTAGAGCTGAGCACAACTGTGAACCATACTGCAATACATATTGAAACTGAACCTGCAACATACACAGGTCTGTAAATAATTCATCATATTGTTCAATTTAGAAGACATTTTCAGCAAAAAAAGATTAACATTTTTATCAAATTAGCTTGACAGAGTTTGACAACTAGTTCACCATTTGTTTGTATAATTACTCCAGTAATGAAATGAAGACTATTAGTTTTATATGGAATGACTATTCAGCATTCACAAGTTTAGTTAAAGGTGCAGTAGTTGATTGTCTTCAGAAGCATTTTTTGTTGTGCTGGTTGAAAGTCTCTTCACAGTCCAATAGTAATGATTACAGTAAATGATCTAAATGTGTTTATATGTATTTTTATATTCTGGGTAAAGCATAAAACTAAAAAATGTTCATCCAATTAAATGGAGTCGGACCGACATCTCCCATATTTCCGATATACGGCTCAAACTGTCTGTCAGCAAATGCAGATTCAGAATTCTGCGCATCTCTTATCACGCAGATCCGCCGTTCGCGACTGCCTGTCTGCATAAGCGCAGCCGCGCGGTCACGAGACAGACCGGGAGAAATCAAATGTTGAATTGAAACTTTTAAAAACCTGAATCAATATTGGAGTTACTTTATCATACTGGAGGAAGGACGACACCATGGCTGAAGTATTACTGTTGGACAGGTAATGTTCAGTTTTAAAACTATTTTAGTCAGGCTAAGCTCATGTTAGATTGTGTTTTGTTCTGTTATGAATGACTTATATGCACAGACGTGTTGTTCAGCCAGTGAAATCTCCCGGTGAAAGATTGATGTGATTATTTTCAGTCCTTTTACAGCATCTATAATGTAGATTTATATTTAGTTTAACAGCAAAACATCAGTAAATAGTGCTATTCTGCCTAACCTGCTTTATTGAGCTGAAGTTGCTTTTATATTCACATTGGGTCATTTTTGAACAATGACAGCCTTCCTATACTTTTACCGCTACTCTGAATATTCACTCTGAAAAAGCATGTAAGTTTGGCTAAGTAATAAATGTAATTCCTGCACGGCGCTGGCCCTAACTAACTGGCAAATGACATGAAAGTGGGTTGTCTGTCTGCTGTTGTGACGCGGTGAGCGTGCGCTCGCGATTTCAGGGGGTGTGGCTTTGAATCACAGTCCCTCCCGCCGTCCAAAGATGATATGCTAAGCGGTTAGCATTTTGGCAGATCACCTACAGCACCTTTAATTTTGACTGACATGACATAAGCAAATGATAATGTTATAAATAGCAGAGAGTTGTATGAAAGCATTTAATGCATGTCTAAAAGCATTTGCAATTTGTTGTAAGGAATGAGAAACTGCTACTATTATGTGCACAAATGACTAATTGTACTGAGAAATGCAGTAACTGTTGTACAAATGTAAATAGTGTAGTGAGAAATGCACCATAGCTGTCACACCTGCTGCAGTGCCCTCTGGTGGTTTTCAAGGGCACCAGTTTTTGTTTTGCTGTTTGTGTTTTGTATCCTAGTCATGTGATCACTCCTTGTTTCCAGCTGTCCCTCATTGTCTAATTAGTTCTGTCTTTATAAGCCCTGTTATGTTGTGTTTAGTTCGCCTTTGGATTTTCAATGTTCTGTTTAGGTCTGTCGTGCTTTATTCGTGATCTGGTTTATCGTGTTTCATTTGGTTTGTTTGTTTGTTCACTTTGTTTAGCATCATTACTATGTTTTTGGATACCTGTTTAGTTTGTGTTTGATTCACTTTTGTGCTTAATTTTTGCACTTCATGTTTTCGTGGATTTTGGTACCTTGCCTGTCCCTTTGTCATTTTTTTGGATCTTTATTATTTGGCAATAAATGTGTTTTGCTGCACTTGGATCTTTCCCTTGGTTTTGTGATACCCAGTCGTGACAAAAGCCACTGAGAAAAACTGTAACATGATAGAAAAACAATGGAGGTCTAAGCAATGTCCTCTTCAAGATAGGGAAAGAAACCCCTCTCTCCCTCTCTCCCTCCCTCCCTTTCTCTCTCTCTCTCTCTCTCTCTCTCTCTCTCTGTGTGTATGTGTGTTGGCTGAGCAATTGAATATCCCTTTTCATTTCTGAGAAACTGAGCTCAAGACCTTCTAGAACAATCTTGCACATCTCTGTTAGTTTTTTGTTTTGTTTTTACTTCTGAATCATTTTGAACATTAAACACATACCCAATGGGAGCTTTTATCACATTTAGCTTCTGGGTATAATGCTGTCCGTGACATCCAGCAACACACATCTCACTGATGGAGTTATATAACTGAATATAGAAGCATTTGCTCTCATATGTGGAGCAGTGCATCTTTGTTTCTATAAACACACACGCTTTTGACTTAAAAAAACAGGCGAATCCCTGTCTTTAGAGTGAGATCCAGCGGCTCGGCTAGGGTTTAGCACTTTTGAGCCGGTCAGATAAACATGAGTGGTCAAACTGCTGAGGTTATGAGCTCACAATCTGTTCTCAGTAGACTTAATATAGACCCACAGGACTGGCTGAATACATGCGTGTCTGTTTGTGAGATTGGATGGATGGATGGATGGATGGATGGATGGATTTATGAATGGATGGATGGATGGATAGATAGACAGATTAGATAGATAGATAGACAGATTAGATAGATAGATAGATAGACAGATTCGATAGATAGATAGATAGACGGACGGACGGATGGACAGATAGATAGATAGAGTGGATGGGCGGATGGATGGATGGATGGATGGATAGATGGAGAGATGGATGGATGGATGGATAGATAGACAGATTAGATAGATAGATAGATAGATAGATAGATAGATAGATAGATAGATAGATAGATAGATAGATAGATAGATAGATAGATAGACAGATAGACTGACGGACGGACGGACGGACGGACGGACAGACAGATAGACAGATAGACAGAAAGATAGATA